CGGCACACCTCCCAGGTCTACTGCACCCTAACAAGGGTTGTGGGTAATGTAGATACAAACAACGAAGAAAGAACGCACGGAGAACTCGCTCGAGACGCACGGAAGGTAACGAGCCCACGCTGAGGAACGAGATAGCCTAGACCGAACAGACTCCGGCCTTGGTCCAGGACGTGCCGCAAGGGCGGCCCGAACCACGACTGGTATGGAAGTCGTGGGGAAACAAGACCTCCTTTCGGAGCCCAAATTTCTCCAAGGCGTGCCTTTTTTTTTTTTTTTTTTCGCAGGAGCATGCCTTATTTTCGTAGCACGAAATGTTCCACCACGTTCTTGTCCCTACAAGACAGACCCTTCGTTGCCAGTGAAATGACCTGACAAGGCGGACACTGATCTTCGGGATGCTAAGTATCCCGCGACCTCCGCCGCGCGTTCATATTGGGCTTCTTATCTCGTCAATCTATTAACTTTCATAATTCGTAATTTTTCTTTACAAAACTGCTGAATTGCAGTAGGCGCTCACATGTGACTGTTCATTGTCGTTACTTTGAATTAGCAACCTTATTAAAGGGAGACTTTGCAAAGCGGTAGTTTTAATTAGCCCTTATCTTCTCCTTAATGCGCAGAAGCGCTGGTGGATGAGCGATGTGCTCACTGAATCTGGGGCGCTCTTCACAATACCTGTTAAGAGGACGGGGCCGTCTGTAAAGAAGGTAGCTGAGCAGAAGTGGAGAGAGGCCGAGTATGACCATCTTTAATGAAGGAATATTTACTGAGACATGATACTTACCTGCTATGGCATTTTGCACAAATAAATCAGCAGATTGGAGCCTTCTAAATAATAAATGATGTCGCATTTTGGTGGAGACTAGAGTGAAGCGCCGAAGAACCCGATCATGTTACAAATGCTACTTTATTTTTGGTTAACATATTTCCTACCGTCCCGCATTATCTCACATTCATTATTACCCAGTATTTGGATATTACAGGGAGCGTATTATGTGATCAAAGGCTATATCGTAAACCCACGTAGGGCCGACCATGACCGGCGTGCCGCATAAAAAAGAGGCAAGTACGTATAGAATAGAAAACTCTGCAAAGGAACAACATTGTGTTTCTATTTTTTGATGCAGAGGGACTTTAATCTCCGCAATATAAAGGCCACACTAACGCTACCCCTCGGAGTCCTCATGCCAAGGATCACGACCATTCATTTGGATTAACGGCATCAAAATAGGGAAGCGCTATTTGCCTAACGAGGGTGGCTGGGCGTGTTCAAAAACATAGTTACTGGTCAGACACACCCTGAATATTATCCCCTATAGACACTTTTCTGTATTACCTTTTCCCTACCTTCTTATTTCATATCACTGTCATGTGGTACTCAACAAAAATTGCAGGCCATTGCAACCCGGATCAAGTAGAGAATGTATAATACAAGCAAACCAAGAAGGGGTGAGAATTCTTGCTTTGCTATCTGTATATATATATTCATATTTTTTTTTTTTACGACACCTACCATATTTAATGCTGCGATACCATATTTGTGCCTCGGTATCCAGGAAGTTGGGCTTCATTAAAAGAAAGCTAAAAAAAGCCCCGATTGAGGTTAAGCTACATGCTTACTATTCGTTAGTAATATCCAAGTTGGAGTAGGCAAATGTCGTTTGGGATCCATTCACTCAGAAAGACATCCAGAAGTTGGAGTTGGTGCAACGTCGAGCGGTTCGGTTTACTTGCGGAAAACATAGAAGGCTGGATTCCCCGTCTAAACTTATACAGGCTAACGGAATACACACCCTCCAGACCAGAAGGAAATTAGCCCGATTAAAATAATTGTTTCATTTCAAACAAGGGAAGACTCACATAGACCCATTGCAATATATTTCCCCTTTAAAGTCAAGTTCTACGAGGCGCAGACATCAGTGTTCACTAACACCCATTTTTGCGAGTACTAACATCTTTAATTTTAACTTTTCCTCCCTCACTATTAGCGACTGGAACGGCTTACCTCTCGAACTATTTAACGACCCCAACTTCGTACAAACTCTCGAACGTCTTGATGATCAGCATGTTGCTATGTATATTGGTGCACGTTCATCCCTTTCACAGAAGCTTTAAGATTGTATAAACCTTCATGCTACATCTGGATAGATCATTTTTTTATTACTGCATGATTGCACTACATGCTGCTTGATGGTTGCTGTTCTCACCCTTCCACCCCCTCGGCCCACTTTTTATATATGTATGTCCTGTATATTTGCTAGTTTATTGTGGTAAGCTTTTTAATGTCGTGTTATTTGTTTGCTGTTATATGTGCGAATTCATATGTTGTACCAAACTCCTACTTGTGTCTTCAATGGCCAGTAGTATTCTCTAAATAACATAAATAAAAATAAAAATGCCCACTACAAAATGCAGGTATAAAATAAATTAAAAAAATATATATGTATACCCTCGATGGCATACAGAGAACAAAACGATGTTTTATCGACTAGCGTGGAAGTTACATAATTCCAGATGACGGCAGCTACGTAGAAAATGTCCACTGATGATGAAACGCAACATCTGTACGCGCTAATCATTTATTCTGTTTTAACGTGGCTAGAGTAGAAATTTACAACTTTCGGTGAGTGTAAAGGAGGCTCAAGTGATATATGAGTGACGTTCGCATTTACTGCTGAAATATATGAATGAAATGTGCACCTGGCATCCTGATGCTCAGCCAAGTTAAAAAAGGTTTTATTCTGTTTTTGACATTGTTTTGGAGGCTAATCCGAATAATGTCACTTATAGATATAATACATCAATATAATTTATTTATATTGATATATTATTTTATGTCATTAAATTATGTCATTTATTGCTTGCAAATGATATATACAGACACAGGTTTGCCAAAGCAAAACTGGGACTGACTTGCAGCTCCAGACAGTCACCGAAATAAACATTGAGCGTGACAAGTAATGAAAGGAATTAACATAGAGCAATACACGTAATATAAAAGCGCGCCAAAATTAGACAAAAAAAAATAAAGTGAACTGCCAGGGAAGTCACACTACTAAAATATAAATTGCTTAGCAACGTTTAGTTCTGTATAGCTGAGGGTTTTATTAGGCCTATATTTCGTTCTTGAGATATGCGCAAAGGAGTGTAGCTTGTTTAAAAACGCGTTCGCGCTATTAGCTTGAGGTGAATACGTGGCTGGCGGCACCCGCGCCATTCTGAACCCAGCCTTACTTACTGATAATATTTCACTTTTGGAAGGACCCGCCGCCAATGCGTACATATAATTTAGTCATTAATGTAAACGACACAAAGGACGGTGCCAAAACGTAACTGGAAGAAAAGTGGCACAACCGTGTCCGAAAAGATGATGATCCTACCAAATGCAATCGGGGGAAATCTTGCATTTTCTTTAGTATAGAGTTCGTGCATTCATACAAAAATTCTTTTAGTTAAAACGACATAGATAATGATTGATGTGTGGTCGCGAGCGTTATATTGGTGCCGATTGGTGGCTACAATACACGAAGAGGGTCAATACTACTCGCATGTAGATTGTTAGAGCTATTAATCCTTCAAATAATCGCCTTCCACTTGAGCTGACATTATTGTGTACTGAGCTGTGGAACGCATTTTGAGCATGTCCAGCAGCTCTCTCCTGCGAGATATCGCATGACGTGAACAGGGACAAAGCCAAGTCATTGGGAATATTTCGCCTGAATTATGAGCGCTATAGAACGGTGCACAAAGGCTGGAACATGTTCGTCTTTCTGGTTAGAGCTTCGCTTTCCTCTCCGTGCCTTCATGCTGCTTGTGACCAAACTTGTCTTCAAGTAGCTCTGCCACGAACGAGTTGGCATATTCTAGTTCTAAAGCTTAAATGGTTTATGACGAAAATTTCTATTTTAAGAAATGTATCTCTCCGCCCGAGTGTCCGCACATAGCCAACGGCAGGGCATGTGAGCAGAACCGTTTAGGTTACCATGACAATATGAGCAAACACAATTTACACATACACTCGCGCATCGATCAGCCAATATCTTTTTATCTTCCACCAGGAATGAAACCCAGAACCTGTCGATTCGTAGCGCATTCCTCTACCTTTGTCCAAGCTGTACGACGTTCTATACGAACAATTAAGCTAAAGTGTGTTCTCTCTATGAATCCTATTAAAGTTACCACGTGGCGATACTCTCTGGGGTACGTTTAAACGCTCTAGACGAGGACAATATCAATGAACAAAGCACAGGTTCTTCCTCACTCTTCGAAACGACTCCTTAATGTCTTCAAAACAAATTCAAACCATCAATCCTCCAAGACAGTGGTTCTCAAATGGGGGTCCGCGGAATCTTTGGGGTCCGTGAAGGCACTCTAGGTGTCTGCGAAGCCAAGCCTCATCAGTCAAGCCCGGCAATAATGGTTGTATTCTCTCAGATTGAGAGGAAACGTTCCAATTTTCCGATACGTTTTCTCATGTATATGTCAATAAAACGAGTCTACTTCACACTAGCCTTTAGTTGCATCCATTTATTAAATCAATATCATAATTACCCTACATTTGTCTTTTCCCCTCACCACGACTGGGGTCCTCTCTCATCTCCGCCGATCCACAAAGGGTCCGCTAAACATCAATGGTTGAAAACCACTGTTTTAAGAAATACTTCCTCGCATTATAGGACTTGGGAGATAAAGTTTGCTGTCAATTTTTCTTAAAACATTCGCGTGACATCTATCCTAAAAGAGAGCCTTAGTATTTCGTATACGAGCATACGAGCGAAAACAAATGCTTTGCGTTTGAGTTAGGTTTCCGTGTTCTACACTGAGCGTGCGCGCAGCCCCCAACTGCCACTTGGATTGGCGAATGGCAACGATGCACATGCGCAAAGTTGAACACGCAAAAGCAAACGCTAACGCACAGCCCTTGCCTTTGCTCCTGTAAAAGAAAGTAGAACCTCCTATTAAGGTTCAAACCCTAGCGTGATTCCAAGATGTGCACTTACCTCGAAGAAGGAGATGTTCTCGGAGGGCATGGTCGCGCCCTGCGTGAAGCAGCGAGTATAGTTGGTCCAGGGCTGGCCGTGCTCTGGACTCACGTACCACGTCCCGTTCTCCGTGCACCACTTGGTGGCCATTTCTGCCGGACGAAGGAGACGCGACGGACCCATAATTAAGACCTCGGTGAACAGTATGGTTCCCGGAATGCGACTCCGACTGGTGCGATCGCCGCGTCCTCAAAGGAGGATTCCTCGGTTTGCGCCTGACAATGCCATAGAAGCTTAGTGTTGTCACCGGCCACTATTGTGGCGGTCTCACAGCAGCGTCGGTGGATGCGGCAGGAGCCTGTTTGACTGCAAACCACTACTTCGGCTTGACAGTCCGCGGAAGCGTTAGCAGTCAGCATTAGGGACACAGCGACGACAGCGACGATCGCGTTCACTCGTGCATTATGAAGGAAGTTCTAACACCAACCGCCCCCCAGGATATCCATATCCGACATCATGACACGATGGCTTCTGGGACGTCATTGGTTGCCACTTGAGGATCACTTTTTATGCATGCGCGTGATTGGACGATGAAACAAACTAATCGACGACACGTTTCTGGCACCGTAGTGATGAACGAGTTAAAATCACACTCTCATCACTGGGGGAAAGAAAAGCTTTCAAAGCACTGTTAGCGTGAACAACGGTTGGCTTACAGTTCAGTCTGAGAACCCCGAAGTTTTATAGGCTTTAAAACAATATAGACGCCCGTAACCGGAATAGTTTTTTTTATTGCACGTCCGATTTTTTTTAAGTATAAAGGCATACCTAGTACAACCAATGCAGTTATAATTAAGTAAAATACCAATATCAAACTGTCCGACCGTTATGAGTAAAGCTCAAGCCTCTAAAAAAATTTGATTTTTAGTTCGCTTCGCTGACATAGTTATATCAATAAGATTTGAGGACACGTGTTTAACATCTAACTAAAAATAAATTTAGAAAAAAAAGCGCAGTTAAACTTTAAACCACACACGGGAATTGTTTTAGAAAGACATCTTTAATAAATATAAATTTGATAAAACAACTGTATTCTGGATGTGAAGGAACAACTAAAGCGCAATGAAATGAACATTTACAGGATGCGAGTAATTTTTTAAGCGCGGCCGTTATGGCTTTATACTCGCTGGCCCTTTCTTTCAAGTTGAAGAGCAAGTAAGTGTATTGCACGTCACTTCTCGTCTATTCCATATGGAGTCTGCGTGCACAAAATGGAAACGTTGCGATACGGATTGTTCGCGAGCGTGCATAATGGTATTGCAACACTGCACGGCCTTGCACAACGCACGCCAGTCGATATCTAAAAGAGTCTTTCACCACGTAATGCGGACGAGAACCAGAATTAAGGGATAGCTATAGCGCTTATGTGTAAGTAGACTTTACCGTTGTATTTAAAAGCGTGTTTTCACTTGCGGGATCCCGGGCGGATTCGCGTGGGCAGAAAGTTGATTTCAGAGCCGGGTGGCCAAATCTACTCGTCCTTGGTGGAAAATCTGGATAAGTCTGGGACCTATATTTTAGTTTTTCACCAGCGACGAGTGGATTTCACACCTTGCTCCACAATGCACTTTGCCGCCTGCGCGGATCCGACCGGGAATCGGACATTGTAAACGCGCCATACGACCCTAGGGTGTGTCAAATAGAATAGAATATTGAACTTAACGAATGCTCTATAGACTAATGCAGCTCACTGGCGTCATGCCACAGCGGTGGCGCTACTGTCGGTTCCTGCGCATGCGCAAACCGCTTCTCTCTTCCCGAATTTTGTTTCCACGCATGCGCAATGACTGCGTGTGGCAAATGCGGACGCTTGTTTGTAAACATTGTGCTGGTGTATACTGTACTATAACGGCGGTCGCAAGTACTTAATACCGTCACGAGTACCGAATGCTTCTCGTGATAAGTCATAATATAAATCTTAGGTGACTCGTCGAAACATTAAATTACTTTATAGACATGAACCCTTAATAAACAAGTGGGTACTTTACGCTTCAGATCGTCACGATATCAAGATAAAGCAAAGCATCTCATCAGTTCATCAAGGCCATCCAAACGTTTCGAGTCACGTGGTATCAATGCCCTGATGTCGTCAATCCTGCAGATTTTTTACATTTTGAGCTAAAACTTCATGGTCGAATGGTATGATAAAAAGGACAATATTTTTTTGGGCTTTGTTAATAAAAACAAATCTTGAGAAAACAAAAATGAAGGTTGTGACGGTTGCGTAAACGCCGTCATGATTCTCTGCATACGACACTCGGCGGACATTAAATGAAAAGAGGACTCTCATGATCACAACGTTAAATGACTGATATAGTTTACTTAACTTTTTAGTTATTCGTTTCATGGGCCATACTTCAATTACGGTGTAGACGAGCATTACTATTAGAGGTCAGAACAATTCAAAGAATTCAGATAGGTAATGGTTTTAGATATCATTCTATCCGGTTTTGTTTTTTCACCCGATTTAGAAATTCAACGTAAAAAAAGTGCCGCAAGTAATTACCACAGTCACGCTTAAGGAAGTAACGATGTCCTTTGAGTCATGTCTTAATTTTCTCATCCTTGTGGCCTTGGCATATCCACCGAAAACGTGCTGCTGAAGTTGTAATGACGCAATTGAAATGAGTATATCCCTCTTCTAGGCGTCGTTGTGAGCAGTACTTGGGGAACAATTGTGTTCACGAAAGTTTTTAATCTATAAAAGTGGTATAGCTGTTTGAGTAATGCATACAAATTAGGATCTTTTGGGTATTTTTTTTATTAATCTGGCCTCTAATATTCATTGCCGTCAATACAGTGTTTGCAATATGACCCATAAAGGCAATAATTAAAAGTTTATTTTAACAGATGTCAATTAATAAGCGAATCGATTATGACGGCTATCTTCCCGCCGAATGTCCGCCGAGCCCCGCATACAAAAGGAAAAGATCGCATGCACGTAATTCTCACCGTCTTTTCTGTAAAAATATGCTTATACAGCAAAAGACCACAAAATTTAGGAAAAGTTCTTAAAGCTTTATGGGTTTGTTTTTAAAATACCGTGAAAGCAACACTAATGGGTTTTTTGCAGATTTGTTATGGAGCCAGGGTTAAATAATTCAGGGGGATAATTATCGCAGTAACATTTTACTATACTTTCTTCAATAATTTTTTATTATCTCAATTATTGACCGTGGTTCACTAAAATCTACAGGCGCAATTCTACACTAATAAAGAAACGCGTCGGCCCTTTTTTATCATTTGTTATCATTTGCGTTTTTGCACCACCACCATTGCGCCCGTTGCACGAATGATAACTAAAATGGCACCACCGCGATTCCAACGCGGCACAAATCTTTCAAGCATTCACTTACTTGGTAGTTTCTGGTGGGGCTCATTCAAGTTTCTCATTGAAACTATATGTTTCTTTTCATCAATTAAAAGTGAATAAAAACTATCATAGGCAATTATCCGACTTATAGTGACGATCCTCCTCCTGTATTATGTTCTCCTTACTGTTTGTATGCCTTACCTACGCAGACCGTATTATTGTATCATTTGTGGCTTTCTTATTCAAACAAACCTGTAACCCCCCCCCCAACCCCCCCCCCAAAAAAAGAAAAAAAAAGTGCATATACACGATACGGCTCCTTTGAAGTTTAAATTCCTGTGATCCGTACGAAGAATCTTTCTCGAGTCCTCCGAAGAAGAGCACGCTGCAACTTAATCCACCGAGAAAGTGAGGGACAGAGCGCGAGGGGACGCTAAGCTCTGATACACGAATGTGACCAAGACTCGTGTATTGGCGTCACATCTATTCGTTTAATGAAAACAAAAAGTTAAGGTTTTCGTCGGTAGGGTTTAGTCGTTTTGAGCTTTTATGGTCGCGTAGAGTACAGGCTGTTTCCTTATCATAGACTATTACCGTGATATGTAAAAAAAAAAATGACCACTGAAGCCCTTTAGCGGCCCAGCAATTGAGATTCACAACGCCCGCTAACTGGCGCAGTGGTGCCCAATTATTTATAGATTTGTTATATTTGTACCATTCAAAATGCTTTACTTTTATTTGCATATTTCTTGAACTAGCAGTCGCTTCGAATGTTTTCAAAAATATTACAACGGCTGCAACTGGGGCTTCGGCAAGGCGCACGACTTGACAGCCTCCATAACGTCGGCCAAGGTGGCCGGGGCGGATGCTGCGTGATGTTGCTGTCATCGTGTGGAGTTCCCGACGTTCTTTCTTTGCAGCCAAGATGTGACGGTTGAAGCGCAACCACGTGGAGAGTGTTTCGGGCGCCTCTTGGGCGTCAGCTTCGTCGCCGGAAGGCTCTTTTCTGCTTCCCATAAGCTGAAGCGAGCTGACGCTACAAGCACGAACACGTCGATTTGAACAACGCTTTCACTTCACGAGCGCGCGTGCATTACACGTTCGGTGAGCCGTCAAGCTTGCTTTCGTAGCGCCTCCTTTGCTCGCCCTTACTGTGGCATGCACATTTCTACGGACGCCTGCAGAACAGTTATCTTTGTTATTGTTGTATTTGTGGTCAGAAGAAATAGTTGTGCATTACTCAATTCTCGCCATCCTTTTTTTCTTTGGGTGCAGGTGGTTCAATCTTATATTGCACATAGCGCATGATCTGCTCTGGAATTGGAAAGTGAAACGTGCACTTAAACGATCCATTCCTACCTAAATTCAAAATTCTAGTTCGTCACGGAAGACTAGGTGGCGCAAGCTACCGCCTGATACGAAAAGAATCAATTATATTAGTTATCCACCCACTCGTATAGCAGCCATCTATGACTCTAGAAATAAAGTGAACGGAAGCGCCTAAACAGGAAGCCGAGACCAATTTCTCGACAGCCGCCGGGCGCGGTGACACTCAACTTAGCCGTTGGGGCCTGGGGACCGGAAATCTTTTACGTTACACTATATAACTTTGTTTTTTTTTCTTGCGTCTTTTTTTTAATTACGTTTTTGGGACCTACCTGTTACGTCATGACGCTATTTACTGTGTAGTGCACATGCATGTATCATGCAAACATTGTATTCATTGCCAACTTTTATCATGAAGATTACTTCGTCGTTTGTTTCGTATATAGACACTGT